CCCCCGTGGCCCACGTCCCGACTCGGGCGGCACCTGCCTGTCCTCTCTGAGCCGACAAGGGCTGGCTGGGCGTGCCCTGCCCCGGGGTTCCCGGGGACCCAGAGCCCCCTGGGCCCGCCCTGGCCCCTGTGGCCCCGCCGGCCTTCCCACACCCTTCCCCCCACCTTGGGGCCCCTGGCCCAGCCTTGGAGTCCAGGTGCCCTGAGCGAGGGTCCGGGTCCAAGACCTTCTTGGTGGCAGGACGGGGGCCAGAACCCGTGACTGAGTGGCGTCCACAGCGTCTCCTTGGAGCCCCTCGGGTGGTGGTGTCCTGGCCAGATCAGCACCTGCCCCTGGCGTCTGTTAATAGGTGAATCACTGATGGGCGCCGGAGACCGGCTCATCCGTGGGCGGGCAACCATGCGTTGCCATGGAAACACCCAAAACAGAAACACAGGCCTCCAGCACTAGACTGCGGGCTCGGCCCCGGGCACGCCACGAGTGGACAACCCCCGTCTCAAGTGGCCCCCGGCAGGCGCGTCTCCATTCCAAACCCCAGAACCTGATGTGGAAAAACTCCTTACAGACGTGATCAAGGTAAGGAGCGAGACGACAGCACCCTGGATCACCCGGGGGGCTCAGGCGGATGGCCGGTGTCCCCGCGAGAAGAGACACAGACACACACGGGGAGAGACGGCCGTGTGACCGTGGTGGCAGGGGCCGCAGTGACAGAACAGCCCCGGCCAGCCCCGGCCACAAGGCACGGCCGCAGGGCCCGGGGAACACGCTTGACCGTGGCTGCGGGACAGGCAGGCGAGAGAGTGAGGACGAGGACGCAGGAGGAGGCCGCTGGCGCTCACATCCTGGGCGCCCCGGAGGCCGCGTCCTGGGGTTTTCTCCGCAGAGTCAGAAGAGCCACAGCCCCGGGTAGGTCCGCACGAGCGAGCGGGGCGCCAACACCCCCCGCCCCGCACAGGGCTGCAGAGACCCCCCCAGACCCCCCGTTAACGGTGGCCTCCGGGGCCTGCGCTCCCGGCCATCACCATCGGAGAGCCCCTGGGGCCAGCGTGGGGCCTCCGAATTCTCACCGACACGTGGGTGGAATTGGGGGGTAACCTGTCGCCCACCCAGGTCCTCCAAGTCTGATTGGTCTCCCCTCGATGGCACCCCGTGCAGGTCACCAGTCGGGGACCAGCAAACCCACCCGTAAATGTTTCCCAGGCTCTGGAGAGGCCTGCGCTGGCTTTGGAAAGCTGTGCTTTTGAGCCCGATTATATATTTTTTTTATTGATCTCTTGCTCCCCGGGGGGGCGGGGGACGGGACACAGCGCTCACAGGCTCCAGGTGGCTGACAGCTCCACGGAATAAGGAGCCACCCCTGCTCCTCACAGCCACTCGTTCCTGGTGACCTTGGGGTGCCCTTGAGCGCACCGCCCCCCCCCCCCCCGCCGATCTCCAGCATCCGAAGGCAATCAGGTGCCTCCAGCAGCACAAAGAGGATCACGGCTCCCCACAAGCACCTTGACATAAAAGGGTCTGCTGACCAGCGCGCAAGGGGGAGGCTTTTCCTCAAGGCGGAGAAGCGGGTAGGAAGTGTCTTTGTGTGATTGTGTCTTTCAAGTTCAAGCACAAATCAGGCTCAGAGGGAAGCCAATGAAATGAGAGGCAGGAAACAAAGGCTGCGGGCTGCCCGTGGCTGCTGCAGGCGCGTGTTGTGTGTGCGCGTGGGTGTGCATAGGCGCGTGCCTTTGCGTCTGCGCGTACATGTCTGTTCTGTGTGTGCACGTGTGACTGTGTCCACGCGTATCTCGTTCTGTTTTCACGACAGCAGCGTCCACGCAGGTTCCGGGCCCGCCTGCCTCCCGGGCCCCCGCAAACTAGGCCCGGATCCGGGAGGAAATCCCACAGCAGAGCCCCCCAGCCTGGTCACCCTGCAGCTGGGGAGCTGGCCCTGATGTGGGCCACACGGGAGCTGCGGCCTTTGGACAGGCCACCCCCCCCCCACACACACACGGCCCCCAACCTGAGTGGGGCTCCCCCGTCCCCACCCCTTCCCACCCTGAAGGCCTAGTGGGTATCAGGTGGGCGGGCCCGTCCTGCGGAGAAGAGGCAGGTCCCGGCTTCGCCCCCCAGCTCCTGGGTTCTGGTGTCGCCTTTTCCTTTCCCTCTGCGGTCTGGCCCGCGTGCATGCGCCTCTGGGCCTCAGCACGCCCCCAGGCGGCCACATGCAGCATCTGGCCGGCGAGATCTGTGACCCGGTGACCCAGCCCCCTGTGTCAGGCTCCCTTTCCAAAGTCCTAGGGGCGGCCGCGGAGGCCGGAGAGGGCTGGTGCACTGCGTCATTCTGCGGGGGAAGAGACCCCGCCAGAGACCCCAGGGACCCACGACACAGGGCTGACCAGCCAGCTGCGGACTTCTCCTTTTTCAAATGATTTTACAAACAAGCCAAGGAAACAAAAACCGCTTATCGTAAAGAAATACCACTGGCTCCCCGTGCAGCCTTTCGTGTCTCCCCGTGCCAGTCTCCCGGGCTGGACACCGGTGCCCTGAGGTCAGGGTGGGGGCTCCCAAAGCTCCGTGGCGCCCAGCCCAGCCTGCTGGAGCCAGGCCCTCTGCGGAGGTGTGCTGCGGCTGGACGCCTGAAGGTGACCTTTGAGACAAGCGGTCTCGTGGCCACCGCCGGGCCTCTGCTGCCACCTGGTGGTGCATCTTGGAATTGCAGGTGGCCGTCTTGGGGCTGGACCGCCAGGGAGCATGCGGTCCCCCTCCCTGAGCGGGCACACTGTTAAGGACAGTGAGCTAATACTCAGAGGGGCTGACAAGTGTGCCCACAGCCACACAGCAGTTCGCCCACAGAACAGGTCCCGCCTGGCTTCCTCGGTGCCTCCTGATTTATAAGTGGGTGACGCCCGCTGTGCAGAGTTCAGAGTCCACCCACCACGGGCTGGGCCGCCCAAACAACAGTCCTGGGGCCGGACGTCCCCGATCCAGGCGTGGGCGGGACTGGTTCCTCCTGAGGCCTGTCTCCTGGCCGTGTAGACACCGTCCTCCCCTGTGTGCTCACGTGCTCATCCCTCTGGGTGTCTCTGCCCCGAGCTCTTCTCACAGGGACACCGGTCATTCAGGAGCAGGGCCCTCGCCAGTGACCTCACTTACCTTAATCACCTCGTTCAAGGCCTGATCTCCAAAGACAGCCACGCTCTGAGGTGCTGGGGGCTAGGGTTCCAACATGGGAATTCGGGGGACACGGCTCAGCCCGTGACGAGCCTGCAGCAAGCTCTGCGGTGGACCCGAGGCCATCGGCACCTGACGCCTCGGCCCCGACGGCAGCCGGGCCACGCCGGCCCCCAGTCCGCCGGGCACGCGGTGACGCACCTCGCTGGGGAAAAGCACGGGCGTCCGCCGAAGACAGCCAGCCTGGGGCGGAACCGCGGGGAGGAGGGAGCTTCAGACAGTCCGGTTTTCCAAAGCATCCAGCTCCACCCCCAAGTGTAGACGCCATCTCCGCCACCTACCACAGAGCACCCCACGTTTCTCACAAATGTGGAATAAGTGGCAGGACAGCGTGGGCAGCTTCTTGTCGGGAGTCGCAGGGCAGGAGGGTGGGAGGGTCGGAGGGCCTCCCGCTGGCGCAAGGACTCTGCTTCAGGTGGAGCTGAGCCGGAAGGATAGAGGTACCTCGTGTGCGCGTGTGTGCACACGTGTGTGTGCGCGTGCACGACTGTGTGGGTGAGTGTGCACACGTGTGCCAGCATGTGTGTAAGCAGCGTGTGGGTGTGTGCGTGTGCACGCATGCGTCTGTGCGTGTGCAGTGTG